TTTTTTTTAAAAGGAAAACATGGCCTTATGGTCCTAGCTCCTTCTATTCTGGGGAGCATCAGTCCGGTTCCTATTCCACCGGCAAGTCAAAATACACATTACATCAATGAAAACTCACCCACGCCTCCTTCCGTCAGGCCGAAGGACCCCTGAACAGCATTGATTACTCCACCGCAGTGGAGGATTGACTGTGAGCTTGCCCTGCCCCTCTCTTCCCTCTCAGACCTGGTATCCAGATCTGCCAGATAGCACCTTTGCCCCTAGGAAGAGTTCATCCTTTGTCCATGCCGACCTATTCCATTCATCACCCACCTCCCTGTCCCTTGGTATGAGCGACCAGATCACCTTAAACCCTAAACCCTCAGCCAGTGTTCCTATCTTCTGAAATGTTGACCATGGGCGCTGGCAGAATTCCGTTTATTTCCAGACCACTGTGACCGAACTTCCTCCGCAACCCCCGTTCATGTACCATTTCTACCCCTTCTCCGACTTGTCGTCCCTTCTCCCAAGTTCCCTCTTTGTCTGTGCCCCTTGGATCTCTAGCAAATTGTAAGTATCCCCTTGCGTTCTACGAAGTGGCTATACTCTCGGACGTTGTCTGCTGTTGAAATCCCTTTTCAGGAATTGAATTACGCCAGTCTTTCCAGCATATTTGATCTTGCCGCAGTTCTGCAACCTTGCCATTTGAGTCAGCCTTTTTTCGCACTCGTCGCACTCTTCTACCTTCCAGAAACATACTTCCATTCCCGGCTGTGCCTTCCCTAAAGTAATGGTATAGGTACACCGTTTCCTCTTCAAGATTCTGGTCCGGGGGTGCCTTGCCCTTGCGCAGTTAGTCCCTGCCAAATACTTCTTCCCGAGTTGGATTTGTGCCAGTCCTTCCAGTAGATGCGGTCGTCTCGTAGATCAGCAACTTTCCCTTTTATCAACCATATCCTGCTGAACTTCAGTCTCGCCTTCTTTCGCTGTTCCTCATCCTCTGACCATGATAGCTTGTTTTTTCGCCAACGGCATAAGATTTCCGCCTGTATCATTGCTTTCGTCTCCAGCCAAATCATCTCTCGTGAGTTGGACGCTCCTTCGATCGTTCTGCCGCATCTTTCCTTCCATATGATCCATAGTGTCACCTTCCTGATGAGTCCATACCAAATCTTTTCCGCTTTCCGGAGTTGTTCAGGGATGTTAGTCAGAAGGAGAAGTTGGATGGGTTGTTCAGGGAAAGGAGTCGGGAAAAGGGAGTCCCATAGGGTCGAGGCTCTTGCCCAGAACTCTGTCGCCTCCCTACAGTGTATTAAGCAATGTACTATATCCTCTACAGCCCCTTCCGTACATACTTTGCATTGATCGGAACTGTCGGGGTCTGAACCCTTCCGTCTCACGTGTAGCCACTGGTTAATGATCAATGCCGCATATATAATCAGCCATTGGAGGCTTTTAATTTTGATTGGTCTGATCGTTTTATAAATCTTCCACGGGATCTGTGTGATATTGTCTGCTTCCTGTCCTATTAGCTTCTGCCACCTGGCCTTGATCACCGGTTCTGGGTCTTTTGTTTTTAGTAGTAGCTCATACCCAAATTTGACCGTGTAGTCCTGAATGGGGGTGAGTCTCTTTATGATTGCCCTCCTTTCTGATTTCCATGCCCACTCCATCGGGTCGAACTCCAGGTTGTGTAAGGCCGTATCGGTTCTGAAGATGAACTTCGGCAATGTGCCTAAGACCCTTACTTTTCTGAGCAGGAAGTAATCCATGACTATTGTTTCCACGTTGATGTTCTTAATCGATGTCATCCCCTTCGTGGAGTGGTCAATTGGGAAGGAAGTGAACACCGCTTGAGTGACTGATCCGGGATGTAGGTGTGAGAATTGGAAGGCCCTAKAGGGGGATGTTTCCTGCACTTTGATCCCCCATTCTCCACTTTYCCATGGCTCCCCTTGTTTTAGCATATCTTTCCAATCCTGAGGAACAAGATTAATAATGTATTGCAGGWTGGGTCCTCTTCTATGGCATCCCTTCAAACGTTCGCTTAACTCTTGTTCAGAGACCCATTCCTTCTTTTCTTCGTTCCACAAGTGGCTGATTGTCYAGACTCCATTCTTTACCCATGACTGCCATTTGTGGTCTAAGAACAGGGGTTCATCACTTTCGCCCTTCAACCATTCATTGCCAAAGAGAGGCTGTCTCAGCACCTCGTCCKTAGATTTTGGTCTGTTGGTCTTTTTTGGCATTATTTCCCTCCAAATCYGGATTAGAGATGCCCAGTACGGTGTTTGACGGTTGTCTATATWCCTTTCTAYTTSCCTCCTRGGTCTTCTTCTCGCCCTTTTCAAGGACMATTCCTTATTCATTACCCACAATAGCCCTGTCATGTTATTTGGCGATGCCACCGGAGCTAAGGCCCTTATGCTGTCCAGGGCCAGTTTATTCCATGTCGTTTCTGGTTTAGTCAACAATCGGACTATCCATTTGAATTGAAGAGCTCTCGTTTCACACCTCGGGTCGATGATTCCTAGGCCCCCTTGTATTGGTTTTCTTGTGATATGCTGCCAAGCTATCTTTGGGATACAGCCTTCCTTGTTGGGGTTGCCCGTCCATAAATACGTCCTGGCCACTCGATTAAGTTCCTTTAGTGAGTCGTCCGGAATTGTCCAGACCGATGCAATGTACCACATCATAGAGAAGACAAAAGTGTGAAGTACCAAGGCCCGACCGATCAGTGAGGTGAATGTGTTCCCCCATCTTCCCAATTTGTTTAACTGTTTAGCTAACATGTTATGGGCCATCTGAGGTACCAGACCCTCCCGTGACATGAGGATGCCTAGGTATCGGGTGGGTGTTTCTGGCGTGTCCCAGGACATGGCAGCCTCCGGTCCTTGTAGGTTGGGAATTTGTTCATCTGACAGCCACCAACCTATGGTCTTCTTCCAATTGATCTTCATTTCCGATGCCAGTCTGAATGCTTCCATTGCCCTGGACAGTGCTTTAAAAGACGAAACCGAAGCTCTAATCAGTACTGTCATGTCATCTGCAAACAAAATAACTGTCGATAACTTGAGATGGTGAGACGTCCCTACATTGACCTCTGGAAGTCTATGTATGGAGGGGTCTTTCCTTAGGAAGGAAGCAATGGCCTCCATCACAAATAGGAATATCGAGGGGGCTAGCGGGTCCCCTTGCCTGACTGAACGTGATATTGGGTAACTGTCAGACAGAAACCCGTTAATCTGTACGCAGCCTGAGGCATTATTATACAAGACCTGGATCCATTTCCTAAAAATTGGTCCCACCCCCATGCGTTCCATACTTGCATCCATAAAAGACCAATTGACTTGATCATAGGCTTTTTCAAAGTCGAAGAAGAGTATGGCTGTGTTTATCCTCCTTTCTATGACTTTGTTTGCAACTTCTATTGATTATTATTGAAACTCTCCTCTTCTCCGTCTCTTCTCTCTTCGTTCTCTCTCTCTCTTACTCTTCTTTGATGAGACGATGCGTCTGAATTGTGCATATAATCGAGACATGGACTTGTAATTCGACTTTGGAGCTTCATGATGTGTGCTGGGTTGCGAGTTGCATTGCATTGCTGACTGGCTTCTCAACGAGACTGGGTTCATTACAAGTGTAGGCTAGAGGATAAATGACTCACTTCCTTTGTTTTATTTATGGCATGCAGCTATCTTCATCATGGGGCAGTTCCTCCTGTCGTCCACAGAGATATAAAAAGTGATAATGTGCTTGTGGATCACGAGTTGCATGCTAGTGTTGCTGACTTTGGGATCTCAAAGGCTGGAACAGTCGGAGAAATACAGGCAACGACAGTGGTATGTCATCCTAGCAAGGCCTGAGTTCTCACCCTTTTTCCTTTAGCTTGGACCGCAAGAACCAGCAGTTTGGCAGCACCCCGCAAGTGCACCATACTGTGTGTTGAGTGTGTGGTGTGATATTCAGCTGTGCCATTGTTCTTCTGAAATTTGTTTGGTTCAAATTGGTTTTCCTTTATTTGGTTTTGCCGGATCTGCAATTTGGCTACCGGGACTTGCGAACAGTAACACTAACAAGGCCGTTTTCGTAATTTTGGGTCGGTCTGGGCCTACCCGGTATCTGGTCCGAGCCTGGTCCCCTACATGGACATCTTTTAATTTTTGTAAATATACCAACGCCCTAACTGGATTCCAGTAGTTGAGTGCACAGGCCTGTCTGTTTGGGCAGTCTAGGGCTTAGGGCAGTCGGGTAGTCTAGGAGGCCGAGGTCGACCATGTACAGGTTCTTTTTCTTTTTATTTGGCGTGCTGCTGGAGGTCGCATGACTGTTGCTCCGCTATTGTTTCCATAAGTGCAGGCATCATCCTTGGTTGAGAACTGTGGGCCATAGCTGGGGCCATTCAGCTCGCTCAGGGACAGTGCTGGGCTACAGGCCCTGAGCGCTGCTTGGTGCTTCCTTCCTTGTTGTGTGTTGTTGGGGATTTGGGCAGCTGCCTTAGATGCAGCTTTTGAGTCTACTTTGAGTGCCTTCGATGTCATCGAGTTGGTGTTCTTCTTCATCATCCTGGGAGCTGCGCTCCCCTGCTGAGTGGACACTTTATCGGCAGTGGGCTTCGTGAGTGGTGCAGACTGGAGTGTCGGATTCAGTAGGGTTGTGTGGTGATTGGCGGGCTTGATAGGTTGGGCGTTTATCTGCACCATAGCTGGAGCTTGAGATAGAGGGAGGAAGAAGAAGTCGTCCAGTTACTTCGATGAAACACTGTTTATAATTGATTCGTGGGTGTTGTAACGTGGTTGGGATTCTGGGAATTTCATGCTGCTGATTGAGTTGGGGGAAGACTGTATCAACAGGAATTGATTAAATTCAATTCTAATTTTGGTTTTGTGAGCTTACGCTGTGTATTCTCATCATCTGGTTTGGTGTGGATTGCTCTCTCCAAGTCTATTTGTCATTGCGCATGTTTGTGGGAACGTGTGAATGCCTTGCTGTATTTTGTTTTCAATAAGCCTTATAAGACAGAGGCCAGGCTGAAAATGGCCAACCCAGCAGGCCAAAATTGACCAGAGGGTACCGGTACCTTTCGGATGCATGCCTGCCAGGGAACTGCCAGGAAAGTTGCATCATGCCGACCTTGCAAAATCACAGAGTAGCTTTGTTGAATTACAACTGGGCCCAGTCTTTGACCAGGACCGGTCCCAGTAGGCCGAAGAACTGGCTGGTCGATATTATATAAAAGCCAGCCACCAGTCCAGTCAGGGACATTCAGGTTGATGCCGCCAGACTGCTCCAGTGCTGACTGAAGGAAAGTTGCTCTGGGCTGTTGGACCATGGCTTGGGAAGACTCATGCACCTTTGCTGGCCTGCAGGTGAGGGTTACAAACCTATGGCAGGTGGGAAATTCACTTGGACCAGTCCTGGTCCCTGGTCCGACTGGGTGGCCATCCTCCGGCCGGAACCGTTCTGGTTGGAACGGCCAGTCGACCGGCCCGGCTCCCCCCTTCTCGGCCCCAGGGCATCACAGCAGGGGGGGGGGTACCAGGGTCAAAACGCCGCCTGGGGCCTTTTTGGACGTCGCTGAGGGCAGTGCGACCAAAAAACCCAGCTATCGGCGGCCCAGATCGGCCGCCCTCTTGAAACGAATTGGGCAGGAACTATCACCCCGATTCACCCCGATTCACCCCGTTCTCTCCCTTTGCTTTGGCCAAATGCTGTCCCCATCCTTCCACCCGTTCGGAGACGCTGCTGCTCCCATTCGATCTGTTCTCGTTCGTCACTCCTGTCCGCTGTGAGCAGCGACTTGGGCTAACCATTGCCTGCAGCAGCTGTGAGTCCTCCACGCTCCATCACCTGCTGTCCGTGCGCCATCTCCTGGAGTACTTCACGAGCCATCGCCCGCCGTTCGAACCCGTTATCGGAGTGTGCTGTTTGGTGAGGGCTTAGTTCTTCTTTTTCTTTTTCTTCTTCTTCTTCTTCTTCTTCTTCTTCTTCTTCTACGAGAGAGAGAGAGAGAGAGAGAGAGAGAGAGAGAGAGAGAGAGAGAGAGAGAGAGA